GACGAGTTGCGCGACGACAACGGGTTCCTGCGCTCCGATGATATACGGCTGGCGTTGGCGGCACTGGTAGTCCAGCGGATACGCGCGCACATCGCCGATAAGACACAGTTCCGGTGCTCTGCGGGCATCAGTCACAACAAAATGCTGGCCAAACTGGCGTGCGGTCTGAATAAGCCCAACGCCCAGACCCTACTGCCCCGGGCGGGTGTCGGGCAGCTGTTCCCGCGCATCGACATCAGTAAAGTGCGTTCATTGGGCGGAAAGTTTGGCCAAAATCTGAAGCAGGCGTTCGGCGCGAACACGATGTACGACCTCAAGTGCCTGGAGTACCAACAGTTGGCCGCACAGTACGACCAAAAGACGGCCAAATGGCTGACAGACGTGGCTAATGGTTACGATGACGAGCCGGTCAGCAATAGACAACTGTCCAAATCGATCGGTTGCGGCAAAAACTTTCCCGGTTTGTAGTGATGGGTGGGGCTGTGCGCGCGGGAAGGGAGGGGACAGGGATTGCGAGTGTTTTGTACGTTGATTACTAACTGTATGCGTGTTTTGTAGGCAAAAAGGCGTTGACATCCGCGGACGACATCCGCCATTGGGTACGACAGCTGTGCGAAGAACTGGTCGAACGGATCACTCGCGACAAAGAGGTGAACAAAAGGGCGCCGAAGTTAATGACAGTGAGCTTCAAGATGGCCGATAAGGACCACAACTCGCGGTCACTGCCGGTGGACCAGTGGCTAGAGGCGGGCCAGTTGGCGGAGCTGGTGATGCGACAGGTGTTCCTGAAAATGGCGAAACTGGAGCCCATTGTGAACCTGGCGATCGCTGCGTCCAAGTTCGTGGACGAGTGCGACGAGCCCTCACATAACACCCATAAACTGGACAACTATTTCGCGAGAGTCACCAAAAGTCACGCCTTTGAGTGTAATAACGAGTTCATTGCCAAGAGGTTTAAGAGTTTGCCGACAAATACGAAGACTTTGAACGACTTCTGGAGTGCGAGTAATGTTAGTAACGATTGTAACGATAGGAGTGTTGATAGCGATTTGGCTGCGAGTAAGCCGTCGACGAGCTCTAGGGTTGACGATAATAATGGCAGCGATGTCGAGATAATTGAGACAAATGTGGTGCCAATGGATGTGTCAAACAATGGGACAAATATCGCCGCAAATAATGCATCAAATAATACATTAAACAAGATTTCAATCAAATCATTAATTAATACATCAAATAACGCATCAAATAAAGCATCAAATAAGGCGTCAAACAAGTCATCAAATAAGATGTCAAATACGAGTGACATTAGAAATAAAAAGACAACGAGTGGTGAGAAAGTGGTGACAATACAAGAGCTGTTCCACCGAAAGGAGTTCGTGAGGAGAGGCTTCTTCTTCCGAAAGATGATCCAATTGAAGGCCGAGCAGAGGGAACGGGAGGAGAGGGAGAGCCTGGAGAGGAGGGCCAAGAAGTTGGCGCAAAGGGAAAGGCGTGAGAGGATCGAGAAAAGTGGCAAAACTAAGATTACCGGTTATTTTAAGCCTAAAACAGGGGCTAAGAATTGAATTGTATGTGGATTTGCGTGAATCCGGATAATGTTTATATCGTTTTTAATGTTAATTATTTATATACAGTATTTTATATTTTAAACACAGTTTTGTTTTTCATTGGCATTTTAATGAAATTAGATATTTTTAAAAATGATTTTTAAATTTGTGTTCAAATGTTTATATCGTTTTTAATGTTAATTATTTATATACAGTATTTTATATTTTAAACACAGTTTTGTTTTTCATTGGCATTTGAATGAAATCAGATATTTTTAAAAATGATTTTTAAATTTTTGTTCAATAGTGAACAAATCATTTCTCATGAATTTTATGCTTTTTATGCGTTGAATAAAGTGTTTGAAAGCAATAATAATTTTATATTTTTATTATTATTCTTATGCGATGTGATATACTATATGAATGAATATATATTTCTAGTGAATATATTGAATGTAAAAAAGTGAATAAAAGATATATTTTTTATTTAAACGAAATGAATGCATAATAAAAGTAGGGATTCGTTGAATGCGTGGATATAATAGCGAACACAGTATTGGATATAAATCTCTCGC